TTAACAACTGTGGCAAGTAAGGTTGTAAAATGGGGCACAACTAATTTAGCAATGGGCTCAATGATGGTCATAAATCAAGGACTGCTTTGCATGCTGCACCTCTCAATCTGAGGGTGAAGATTCATTTTCCAAGCTTGTAGGCTGATTTCTGAACGTTTTGTTACCAGGCCAGGGAACATCTTCAGCAGAGTTTAAGGCAGTGTTTCTCAACCTTGACAATTTTAAGGCATGTGGACTTCAACTCCCAGAATTCCACAGCCAGCATTGCTGGCTGTGGAATTCTGGGAGTTGAAGTCCACATGCCTTAAAATTGTCAAGGTTGAGAAACACTGGTTTAAGGGATGTCAGTGTCAGTGTTCCGTTTATAAGGGCTTTAGGTGTTGCAACCATTGCAATCAATTCTACGTGGGACAAACATCACATCAATTAACAACCAGGATCCACAAACACTGGCTGGCAGTCAAACACCATGATCCCAAATCCTTAATCTCTACCTGCACTGACACAAACAATACCAGTTCAATTGGAACAACACTAAATAATCTGCCACACTACCACCCGCCACGCTCGTGAGTTCATCGAAGCCTGGCACTCCACAAGCAAATCTATCAATAGACACACTGGTCTACAACCCAGCCTACGAACCCCTCCGGATCCAAGTCAACCGACAGCCAACCAGAGACAACACCGACCCTCAACCAACCCACGCAAGCCCCACCACCACCAGCAGTTCACCTCCCAATGACCCTGACCTGAGGCAACCTCCCCATCACAAGACTCACTGATGACTCACACCTGGCCCATCACAAGACCCACCACAGACCCTCATTTGACACACCCACACCTGGAAGCCCTTATAAACAGAACATTGAAACTGACATCCCCTAAACTCTGCTGAAGATGTTACATAGCCTGGTAACAAAACATTCAGAAACCAACCCACAAGCTCAGAGAATGAACCTACATTCTCATCCTACTACACCCAAGCTACAGATATTTGCCACTATTGCAAACCTCTCAATCTCCTATTCGCAAGCTTAAAGATATACTGCTATCAAATGTAGAGCAGACTAAGAGTCAAGTAAAAGCTGGTTTGGTTTAGTGGCTAAGGCACCAGACTAGAAACCAGGAGACTGTGAGATCTAGTCTTGCCTTAGCTATGAAGACCAGCTGGGTGATTTTGGGTTAGTCATTCTCAGACCAATCCATCTCACAGGATTGTTGTTCTGGGCAAAATGGGAGGAAGGAGGAGTATTAGGTATGTTCTCTAGATTATTTATAAAAATAAAGGTGCATAAAATTAAATCAAATTAAATAGTCCTTTCCCAGTCCATTCCAGAATTATGAGGAAGTACATATGAAAGATGATAGATGGTCCATCCAAATATTTCCCTTGGACTTTGTCAATGGCAGTGCAGGCAAGAACCAGAGTCAATGAGCATACTCAGAAGTGTGGGAGAACAAGATTGTATATTAGAAGGCAAGTTGTCATTTATCTTGGAATAGTGCCTGAGAATGGCATGGTCATCCAGCCAGCCACGATATGAGCTTGGTTTTGATATAGACAGGGGCCATCCCAGTTACAGCTAACCCAATATATTTAGGTGAAAACAAAAGTCTAAATGCTTAGTCTGTCAAGGCAGCAATTAACAGTTCCAAGAATCTCTCTATATAGCTCACCTATGTTTCAAGGCTATTCACAGAATGAGCCAATATCTATTAATTCAGGTGGGAGGAA